ATTCCTTTAATCCTTAAACCTTTTTCTTCTAGTATGTAATTATTAGATATTTTTTGGGGTACTTTTAAATAAATAATAAATTCAATTGTTTTACTGGTTCTTGTTCAATGTAATACGGCTTCGCAAAGTGAAGTCATTTTAAAACACCTAATTATGGTTGCAAAAATATCAATTGATGATCGAAGATTATTTATATTGTTAATTTCTTTTAAAAGTGAATTACACTGTTGTGTGTGTTAGTGTGTTTAAATACACGGGCGTTGAAAAAGGTAGCGAACTCGACGTAAAACTTATTTATAACTTTTCAATTTGTTTGCTTTGGTCATGCTTGCTGATTATTTATTACAAGTTAACCTATCCATTTTTTTTGGGGGGGTCTGTAAAACGGATAGTGTTACAAACTTAAACACTTGAACAAAAAAGTTCTTCAACAACTTTTGGCCCTCAATAAATTTTTAACCTTTAAATATTTAGGTTTCATAGTTACATTAGTAAATCGTTAGGAGAAAAACAAAACGCACTTGCTGATGTGGTAGCCTCCGAGGGGTTTCGATTGATTAGTGAGGCACGTTATTTTTGCCGCTGAAGCCAACCTAGACATGCTAGATGTGATAATGTCTATCTTATTTGCTTTAGAAATAGAACAAACCCGTGAGTACGATATACACTATAACCATTTATTTTGTAGTCAATGTAGCCTCCGAGGGGTTTCGATTGATTAGTGAGGCACGTCATTTTTGCCGCTGAAGCCAACTTAGACATGCTAAATGTGATAATGTCTAATTTATTTATTTTAGAAATAGAACAAACCCGTGAGTACGATATACACTGTATATTTTGTAGTCAATGTAGTTTTATCGATGCTGGTCCTTTTGTAGCAGAATTAAATTACTGTACCTTTAATAGTTAGGGGTTTTGGTTGAAGAAGTGTTTAAATATCCTTAAAAGAGAGGCGAAAGATACCGAAGGGACATTCAAACTCATAAGTCGAAAATAAACTGACAACGCCATGGCTAAAAAAGAAAAAGATCAGCAGACAAACAATAGTACACAACACACAACATAGAAAACTAGACTGAGCAACACGAACCCTATCAAACACTGGGGGTGATCTAAGGTGCTCCGGAAGTGTAAGCAGATTCTGATCCACATGTGGCACATGTTGTGTTGCTCATGTTAGTACAAACCCGGTAATAAGTCTAATTCGGCAGGTCACATTCGGGAATGGGGGACGGGATTGTAATTACGACATTAAGAACATATCCGCTATCATCTGTGAAACGGATATTCCGTAACGGTCATCCAACTCGTGATGGCGTCCGTAACATTTACGAAGGGATGATTTCAACTTCACCACTTGGAACTTTTGGTTTAATAGCTTCCTTGTGAACAGCAAACCTCTATCAAGGAAATCAAGACAGGAAATACAAGCCCTGGAGTATCGTATCAACTGGGAGTTATATACTCCGTATGCAGGCGCTGCTGGAATGTTGCTACATTATCATGGAAAGTTCACAATTGGGAAGCTGAAATCATCTCATTGTCATAAAGTTTTGTTTTCAACCGACCCTCATTGTCAACTTCTAGTTGTAAGTCAAGATATGAGGCAGACTTAACTGTATCTTTTATTGTAACAACAATAAATAAACATCATACCACATCTCCTTATTTCAGTCATTTTTCAAAGAATGCTAAAATTTTAACAATTATTATAAGGTCCAGTGAAAAATTTGGAAAATGAGAGGAAATCATATGTGAGGTGAATATAAAGTGCATGCATGGCCACAAGTATTGTAGCTCGTGCATGTTGTGATTTTTCCTAATATACTTTATGTTTATAAAACTAGAAAAAAATATTGTGGTGTCATTTCTAAAACGATTTTAATCAACTTGGTACCAATAAAAGCAGAATTGTCACAGGCTTATTTGTTTATTTGGTTATAATTTAGTTCTGGAGTTTTTTCATTTTCTGATGATTTAAACATGCAAAGTTTAATTGTTTGTTCATTAATTTGCTCTTTATTTCAACCAGATTAAATTGTAAAAAATTATCATATACATAGAAATAAATAGAGCTTAGGCATGAAAAATGAAATTGTTTCCGACCCCCTTACCATGACCTACAAATATTACCTAATTTTTGGTGTCTTCAACAATGAACTTATACTGTTACATGTAATTGCGCTATAAAATGCCAGGACATATTTTTTTCCTTGCAAAAAATCAAACCAGGAATTTACATAGATAAGATTTAGCTCTAAACGACATTTAGTTACCTATATACATGTAGGAGAATGTGGATGGGGTTTTACAGAATGGAGAATAATGGGCAAAAAATTAAAAAAAAAAAGAGAAAATGGATTAAAATAATAAAGAACAGAGAAAAATGGACCAAAATAATTAAGAAAAGAGACTAACACGGTGCTAAAATATAAAGAATAGAGTATAATGGGCAAAAAGTATACAGAACAGAGAAAAATGGCCAAAAAATTAAAGAATACAGAAATGAAGGACCCCATCCAGACCCTAATGTAGTGTGACAAACTGGATAACATGCATCAATAAAAATATATATGCCATTGGATGGGACGAATTGGTGCATCAATATCAATAGATTCACCGTATGGACCTTTGGTGAAGGGAATATATATATATGCGGTAAAAATTGTGCAGTATGCTCACCAAAATGAAACCGAGGTATTTTGTGACAACACCGGGAAAGAATATACCATTCAGGGACAAATAAACTGTAAAACCGTGGGCGTAGTATATGCAATTAACTGTGCAAAATGCGAAAAACTTATATATGTAGGACAAACGGGTGATACACTCTATCAACGGATGCTATTGAACTTTTAAAAAATACGACAAACAAAACAGACGATCCGGTAACAAAACACTTCATTCAGCATATTAATCATTCGATGAAAAATTTAAAAGTTACCGCCATAGAAAGAGTATTTGAAACAGAAATTTACAGAAAAACTACAGAAGCCTTTTGGATAAAAAAATTAAAAACTTTAGAGCCTGATTGTGTTTCTATAAATTAATTTGGAACTTGAGGTTACATGGTTACAGTAGCTTGTAAACAGGAAAAAGGGGTTAAAAACTTGATTGGTTAGCTTGCAGTGATGGTTATTATCAAAATGCAATGAAATGTATGTGAAATTTTGTCTGTATTACATCGGTGATCCGTTTATTTGGCAATCGCTAACGGCAGTCAGCAGGGTTTAAGAATATTTGTTGTTCGACCTGTTAGTCAAATGCGTTTTGTTAAAATATACTTTTTCACTTTTTTGGTCTTTTGGAAAATGTTGTTTGTGCTGTATTAAGACCCCTCTAACAAGAAATTTGTTTTGCATGCACACGTATAAAAATTGCGGTTTTTATCCAACGCAATCATAGGTTTGAACGTTGTTTTCAATTTAGACTTGTTTATATTTTTTCGTTTAGGCTTGTATTATATTTGCCTTCGGGTTTATATGATCCGTTCATCCTATTTTGACTCCTCAAAATTCAAGTAAATAACTTACTATTATTAAAAGAAATACTTAATGTGAATTAATAGAATTGCTAACTATAATAAAAGAAATACTTAATGTGTTCTAAAAGAATTACTTACTATAATAAAAAGAAATACTTATTGTGTATTAAAAGAATTACTTATTATATATAAAAAAAGAATTACTTAAGATACATTGAAAAAATACTTGCATTTAATTACTAACTTATTACTTACAATTACATGGAATTACTAGTAATCACTCATTTTTACTTGTTTTTTTACATGATTTGAGTAAAAACAATACTTGTTTTAAGTAAAATCTAGTAATTTAATTTTTTGAGTGTGAAAATGCAAAATCTAAGTACTGCGATTCCTGTTTTCAACTGTATTGTCAAAATGGCTTTGTAGTAGAAAGTCTTGAGTATGCTTGCAACATTAGGAAAACCAGTGTCATGTTGAACAGTAAAACAAAAACCAACATTGTTTAGGCTAAACCAAAGGTACATGCATGCAACCTGTTTCGAGTCTTGGTGAGCTATAACGTTAGTTAAGGTGGTACCAAACTCCTTGACTAAAATTAATTTGGCTCGTTTAATTTCGTTAAAATTTTGACAAAATATTTACTTTGACCCTTTGACAAAAATACAAAAATTGCCAAAAACTTGAAGCACACATTGTATCGGAAAAAATTCATTAGATATATAGCACTTTGACACACACTTATTTTGATCATTCAGAAGCTTAATATTTCCTTAACAATAGAAGGTGATTAAAACGTTCAGCTAATTTTTACAGAGGTATCTCCCTGTAGTGTTATGTACCACCTTAAGTACAGGTATAGATAGTCAAATAGAAAATTCTTTGAATTTCCTATTAACAAGACGTCATAGTATACAGTAGAAGACTGTAAGATATGTTGGTAGACTAACACGAACTCGTGTGTCCGAAGTGTTCTTGGAGGGTATCAACGACATCTCTTATGACATCGGTACTTCAAAAATTTAAGTTTCTACACAAAATAAGGAGATATTGTAAGAACGTTAACGAGACAACCATCAAGCATAGGTCAAATTACGTAGAAAATAGTTCGCCGTTCGAGCAAAATTAATTCATTCCGTTTAGTCAGCTGTAAAAAGGGCCCGACATGACAAACATTCAAAAATTCAATTACAAAAACGGCCTATTTATTGCAAAATAATAAAAGAATATTGTTACCGACCGGCAAACAACAACAACTAATAAATTACAGGCTTCTGACATTGGAAAGCTGGCGCATATAGCATTTAACGGGGCTAACCAAGTTTCTTCACCGGAAATGCAATATTACGCACCATATAATTATCTGTGTTGGAAACTATCAACAAATAATCCTGCGATCTTAGCTTTTCAATCATATTGTTGAAGATGTCAAGTACGGGGGAAACCTTGTTCGATCGATTTGTTGCTTATTTGAAAGTAAATCATATCCTTTTTAAGTGAAAACAAAAGAAAATCATATCTCGCTTCATGTGTATTTTATTTAATAATTACACTGATAGAACACGTTTTATTTTTCACAAATATAACCACCATAATAGATTTCCTTATCGCACTCAATATCATAAAACTGGTATTTGTTATTGGCATACAAAAACATGCAGTCCTGTTCATCCTTAGCTGTTCCTGAAGGTTGTCCTTCAGCAAAGGCAAAATAAGTCATCTTTGTGACTTTACCATTTTTGATCCACCGCCAATCACCGTTTGGAAGATATCTGTTGATGTTCCGTCCTCCAACGTAGTAGTGAATACCTTGAAGAAATCATCATCATCATCATCATCATCATCATCATCATCATCATCATCATCATCATCATCATCATCATCATCATCATCATCATCATCATCATCATCATCATCATCATCATCATCATCATCATCATCATCATCATCATCGCTGTGTTTGAACAGGAGTTGAAACCTTAGTTTCTTAATCATTTCAAAATTATAAATGTTCGTAATTTCTGCTTAACTTTTTTCAAGTATAAACACATTGGTTACACATTGGAAAAGTCGAGGCAAGTCAAGGAATATAGCAACGCAGATGGACTGAACAGATATATATATAATATGATATATGAACTCGCAGTACCAACTGTTCTGTCAATCGTATGCGTTTCTTCTTGCATTTGTCAATATAACCTTCTAGTTGTTTTGTATGACCTTTTGATTGGATCTAAAACAAGTTTTCAGCAATGCTCACAAGTATTTTATTCAGTGTTGACTGTCTTGAATGTCATTCAATTGGTTGTACATAAATGGCAATGATGATAAAAACATGACCCGAATGAGAAATTTGTATACAACTACGTTAAACATTTCGGTTAACTCCTGTTCTTTATACTGTACATTCTATACACATTATACATTAAAACATTAGATATAAATAAAAATATTTAAGAACATGATATTACTGTACTTTAAAACTTGTTCTGAAGTTATTCTTTCCTTTTTTTAAGTAAGTTTTACATTAAGCTTGGACACCAGTGTTGCATAAACTATAAATAAATACAGATTTGTTTTAGCTTATACATACAAACGTCAGATTTAGTTAAATGTTGTCGAAGACTGTAAGATTATTTAAACAAAAACCTGTAAACAAGCTCTAACAGATATTTGTAAATTACCTGTTTTCTGCTTTTGAATAAATAAGGTCAAAGCCATGGCCTCTTCAAGGGTTTCAAAGTTAGCCAAATAAGCACCAGGGTCTGTACAGCTCGCCTGAATGAAAAGAATGAAGAACATTGAATAGTCAGATATTCTAAGGACCGATATCGGTATAATTTTTAACATGAACAATTTAGGAGAAAAACTGTAACTTATAGTTATAAAGCATACTCATCGATAGTAGTACACGTGAACATGATTTAAAATAGATATTAGTACATTATGTCAGAAGCCATACATCGTACCCGCAATATTCCTAAAGGAAATATACAGGCATTATTTTGTCGCCTAAATATGTCTCAGCATTCTGTATAAAGTATAATAATATCACATACAAGTATTCTCCCGTGTATTTGGTACAATGCTATACAATACACGCATAATCTTGTATTTTTTCCTTTTATAAAAACAAAAGCAGATCAATTAAATGAGTAACCACTGTTTTCATGAATGTCAGATCCAGTTATTAATATTGTTTGTGCCACTTGTTGAAACAGTTATAGTTGCGTGAATGTTATCAGTTTTAAGTTTATGTGTACAAATCAAGCAAAGATGTTTTACATGAATGAAACGATTTAACAGAGGTTTTATGTGTAACTATGGTTTTCTTTCAAAACTGTTACCTATTATTGACCACTATGATCGAATAAACTCGAAATGCGTATTAGGCACATCTTATTTAAAGGAAATACATTGTACAAGAAAATGAGTTTTGTTGAATGAAAGATAACATTTGTTTTAAAAAATTACAAAAAAAAAGTATATCTACATGTAAAGGTGCAATCTAGCAAATTTTGTAAACGTAGAATAACATGTAATTTATACGTACAAATGCTGCATTACCCGAAACTTTGTCATTGCTGATGAAATAACACCCGTTTCCTATCTTCTGATATGGCTTTTGACAGTTAGCTGATAAATATAATGTTTTAATCAATTTCAATAGTCAAAATATCTAGATGTTACATAGTTATAAATTATAGATGTTATATGTAGTGTAATCGTTTTACTTTAATAAGAAATTATTTCATAGAGATCAAAATTCGTAATAGTCACTTGATAAGTTTTCCGTCTGGGTAATTTTAGTCTTAATGAGAAATCCTTGACATTATTGATCACGTGATTGCTTGAAAAATACCTTGAGGTATAACGAAATTAAAGATTCTTATTTCATCGGCAACTATCGGATTATGATAACAATTGTGAATATAGATACATGTATGACAAATCTAATACATAGCATGCAATAGATTTGAGCAATGTTCACAATGCAACAACCTTTCTAATATTGCATTTTTTTCAACACGGTATTGCTACCTTAAATCATAATTCACATCGAGTGTTTGTATGGTATTTGAAAACTTAACATATTTAGGAAATGTCCTTACATTTTTCGATATCGTGTTCTTCAATATTCATGTGATAGTACGTTTGTACATCATATATACATATATTTTTGTGTTAAGTTTTAATCTGAGTGTACATATTTTCATGTCATACTATTTTGTGTACTAGTCTCTTTTTTCAGCAATCCAAGCAACGAATATGAGAAGGATTGATATTTAAAATAGTATATGAACCTTCAACATATTAATGTGCCTGTCTAAAGTCAGGAACCTAGCAATGTTTTTATTGCATTTCATTTATCTTTTGTTTGTCAGGTCAAAGTCATGCACGTTATTAAACTCGGGTCAATTTAGAAGATTGCATATTGTTGTGACATCTGTTTATTATGATGACCAACTGATCAATCTTGATATATTGTGCTGGTGTGTTGCTGTGTCATTGATGTTTATTACACAATGTTACTTTTTATCCAAACTTTGAAAAAGAATGCAATTTATATTTATCAGATACTAGTTATTATATTGCTGAAATCATCTTATCATATTTAGTCTGATCGATACGGACCTCGCCATGATGATCTAAGTCTTTTGATAATTTTATGATTTGCTGCTGTCACTATGACGTTTACCAAACCATTTCTATCTTTTCAAAATTCTATAAACATTACATTTCGAATTATTTCTTTTTATTGTTTTATTAGCAGCTTGCATGGCTTAAAAAATTTTGTTATATACAAATTAAAAATACTACAAAGTGCTGAGATATTCAATGTTTCTCAAAAAAGCAAGAAAACAGCTATTGCTCGCTGCTGGGTGAATTGCAATTGTACAAGTTTAAACATAAATAAATTATTGCAAAAAGTCATTTTTATTTTGCACAAACAAAACACTTGTTTATTTTGCGCAAGTATTTTACATTTGTCAAGTAATTTTATTTGCCAGGTTATATGAATGACAAGAGCAATTTCAATGCAAACCCCATCCAAATACGTGGCTCGTATAAGAACTTTTATGCCAATGAGAAAACTGTTCAACATAGTCCATACGACGTTGGGCTGCTTACCCCAACGTCGTATGGACTGTGTTGAATTGTTATCTCATTAGCAATCATTCACAATCTCCTTTGTTTGTATGTATCGCAATATATTGAGGTAAATTAATAAAACTTCTTATACGAGCCACGTATTTGGGAGGGGTTTACATTGAAATTGCTCTTGTCATTCATATAACCTGACAAATAAAATTACTTGACAAATGTAAAATACCTGCGCAAAAAAAAATAAGTATTTTGTTTGTGCAAAATAAAAATTAATGTTTGCAATAATTTATCTACGTTTAAACTTGTACAATTGCAATTCACCCAGCAGCGAGCAATAGCTGTTTTCTTGCTTTTTTGGTCCATGCTGAAAACATTAAATATCTTAGCACTTTGTACAGTTTTAAAATTTTGATATAACAAAAGTTATGCGTCCAAGTATGACTTTTCACAAAGAACAAAATCTGTACCACAGACGCGAAACAATTCAAACGATAGAAAAATCGGCCTGTACTCTACTCAAACAATAATTGAAAAATCAAATGTCGCAAACAACAACAGATATGATAGACAAGACTTATAGAAAATGGCGGGGTTATATAAATTGTTTGCTAGCGCTCGTCGTCCCCCGTCCGCTCCCCACTCCTTTGCTAGAAATATTCACATCCAATCATGTCTGATACAGTATTTACTGAAGTAAGATAAATGTACAAAAACACAGATCACAATCTATCGTTAAGAATTAAAATTAAGTAAGTATTTAACAAACCAGTACCTGAAGCTATGGTTTCAACCGTCGGTGTCAGCTGATTAAGTGTATTTGTATAATTTAACACCAGAGCCTGTAGGGTTTTCTCCATTGCATCAATTTTTCGGTCGCAATTCCCACTATCTGTCAAATTAATAAATAAAACTTATAACAAATGATTATTCAACGAACTTCGAGTGGGTTGGGAAAAAAAGGAAAGCATTTTGCTACGTCTTAAATGTCCTTTCAAATAGAAATAAAAGTCTGTACAAAATGCTACCAAATATCAATACATTCATAGAAATATACTACGAAACAAGCTTTTACAATTAACAGTAAACAACTTCCGGTTATCGGTCTGTTTATATTATTCTGCTCTCTTCCGAATAAGTAAAAATTCTCTGCGGCCTGTTATCTATTTCTTGCATTAAGAGATATTTCTCGTATCACATTGCACGGAAATCTGGGTTAACTTGATTGGCTTATCCATCATCATGAGACGATATTACGACATTTCCATTGGCTATTTGTTAAGTCATTGATGACTTCCAAAGGTTAAAACAATGTACATTTCGTCCATGGCAACGGACATATTTGATTTCATCATTAATATACAAAACACGCACACTTTTCACCTGAAAATCTTTTTTGGTAAACTTTTATTAGATATTCTGAAGCGTATGACAATTTTTTTTTAAATGTCAGGTGTTAAAGTTTTACACCATAATAGGACATATGACATCATACTTGTATGTGCAAAATACTGTTCGCGGAATTTTTAATTTAACTCAACTAGAGTGTTGCCCATAAGAGAAATAGGTTTAACAACTTGTGAGAATAAAATATTGTTTGATATCAACTCTCATTATTTAATTTAAAAAGTAATAATAGACTTGCCAAAACCTCGTTTTATTATTTTAATGTTCTGTTTGCCCTGACTTACCCTGAATCCTGTTCTTTTTGCCCTGACTTACCCTTAGTCCTGTTCTGTTTGCCCTGACTTACCCTTAATCCTGTTTCTGTTTGCCCTGACTTACCCTTAGTCCTGTTCTGTTTGCCCTGACTCACCCTTAATTCTGTTTCTGTTTGCCCTGACTTACTCTTAATTTTGTTCTGTTTGCCCTGACGTACCCTTAATCCTGTTCTGTTTGCCCAGACTTACCATTAATCTTGTTCGTTTTGTCCATACTGCTCACTTACCAGTAATTCTGTTTTGTATGCTGCGCTTCACCTCCTGTTGAATTACTCTCTTCAGTTGTTGCGTCACGTTTGACAAATTTAAATCAGCAAAAAGTGGCGCCTTAACATTATCCATTAAAGGAATTTGTATATTTGTATTTTCGTCAGCTTTGCAAACATGAAAAACTGTCAAAATGTACAAAAAGCAGACAATAAACATCGTGGACATGTTTGAAATCCTTGAATAACTTAACGATTAATTTTCATAACACGATACTATACATGCTATAATTAAATCTGTATATAACAGTATTCTACTTTCAAAGTGTTAACATCCGGAAAAAGTTATTACACTTTTCAAAATACAGTTAAGGCTGGACGAATATTCAACTACAGCAAAACAAAGGTGACAAAATGAAGGCAGCAGCATTAACATAACAATGGACATTTTTTTTATCTGTGCAAAATATGTTGAATCATTAAGTGTTTTTCCAATCCTTTGATCCTTTGTATCAAAACAAAGAAATGATTTCAATTGTTGAATTTCATTAAACAGTTATTAAATTATCATTTGTATAGTATATCGGTATCTGGCATAAACATACGAATATTGTTAGATTGAATGTTTCTGTTATAGCATTTTGGAAATAATCTTATATTAGCTGCAATATCTCCCTCCGAAGTTCCGACTCTTTGTCCGGAGTTTATGTTACTTCAGGTTTTTTTTGTTTTTTTTTTTTGGCTCGATCCGCTTTTACATTTATTTTCTAATTGAAGCTTTACATTGGCAGCAGACTGTTTTGTCCAGTTGGGAACCAGTTGTGTTTCATGTTCAATAATGTTATCTTTAAATTGTTTGTACCTAAACGGGATTTACAGTTAGTTATAAGTGCATAGGCACATGTTATTTCGTATCTCACATGCCCTGATATACTAATGGTGAATCTCATTCTGTGTCAAGATAGCAACATTTTGAAAAACTTAATTAAATATATTATTTAATTGGTGTTTGGTCTAAATATGAATTTGATAGTTGCCACTAAACGTTTAGTGAACGTTAAATAAAAAAATTAGTGTACAATACAAATATGTTCTAGTTCAGCAATAAGGCAAACCGAATTGATTTGAATAACGTACATATTGTAAAACATGACACACAATATGTTTATATTCCAGTTTGCTTTCATACATTTGTGAATATAAAATAAAACAAAAGCGTGTGCTGCGTACAACAACAATACCGGGTCATAATGTCAACGTTGTTAGCATTATTTTCAGAACCTGGTGCTTTAATTTTGACATAACCCATTTCGTTTGATTTTAACATGACCCATTTCGTTTAATTTTGACATGACCAATTTCGTTTAATTTTGACATGAACCATTTCGTTTAATTTTGACATGTCCCATTTCGTTCGTTAATTGCATAGTAATACTAACCTTGAAATGCAAAAAGTAACAAATCTGCAATATCCTTATGTTTTGTTCATTCTATGTATTTCTTCTCCTACAATGGGAGCAGTTTTAGGGTAAATCGAGCAACACTCGGAGGATGGAACCCTAGTCATTGTCTTTCAGTGTTTTTTATTGAATTTTTAATTAATCTAGAATGATTGTTGAAAATGAAACTCTATACACAATATAATCGTTCCTTCCATTGGATGACGTTTGAATGTCCATTACGTTAAACATGTTAAAGGAATACAAATATGGGATATTTACAAATCAAAACTATTTATATGCGTAGCTAAATGTACACCCTGTTTTGTACAGCCACTCGTTCTTATTTGCAATCTTCAATGCAGTTATACATACATATTTGGTTTTCTAAACTAGGTTTGGTTCGACTGCTCCTTAGTAAAGTCTGATTGCCATTGAGTAAAATACAAGATAAAATACCACCTTAATAGGAGATAGGAATTAACAAATATTTGGGCATTACATCATAATATACACGGCTATTTGAAAAATGTTAAGAAGACTGAAATTGATTGCATACAAATTTAGATCAATAACATGTTAATAAAATCATTGCTATGTACTCGATCTACACTCTGAGTGGGACATTAGATGTGCTGGTTTAAAGACGTGTCATCCTATATTTTGCACATAGTGTCTGCTTCTGTGCTTGTGTCTTCACTCACAAAATAGACGTCTAGTCTGGTTTCCCCAGCTGTGGATCGTTCAAATCATCCAAGCACTTGAGACGTCCACGTTTCCACTAAACCAACTAAACCTAGGACGTATTAACAATTGGGATGCAACAACTATTTGTGACACGAGATGTATCTTTCGTCAGACCTGTACTGTATATATAGTTTAGTTTAATTTGCTTCATAGTGAAATACGTTATAAATTGACCAATTATCCACCGGAAACACTACTTTGTTATAATTTGTCTTATTCAATGATGGCTAATAAAAAGTCATACAGTAGATTGTAAACTCTTAAAAGTAGATTTTAAACATGCATACATATAATTTTAAATTCATAAAGAGAAAATTACACTTTATACATTTCGTACGTCCGGCGTTTGTCTTGATTTATATAATAACGTATGACATATGAAATTGCATACCAAAAATAAAGTAACAACTCAGTCAGTCCGATTTGACCTCAGATGGCGTTAGACGGGTCATTTTTGTCGTGTTGATGTTGATTTTTTAAATTTAAACTTGTTATGTACTTTTACTTAACCTATCAATGGGATCGTGCGTACTTGATGAAGGTAAGTCTAGATGTATAAAACATGTGAAATGAGAAACGTGCAGAGCGAAATCGGCTAAAGACGTTTAGTTTTGTATCTGATCAGTTAATATTGTGAATTACAACTTGTGTCGAGGTTTTTTTGTCATTAACAATTATGGGTGGGCACAACTTATACTGAGCCTCATTTTTACACAAAATAATTAGCCTCATTTTTACACAAAATAATTCACGAATGACAATAAAACCCCGGTAAGCTTACATTAGGGAAGGTGGATGATTTTTAGTTTAAATTTCAGTAGCAAATATAACATGAATAACAGGGCATCATAATTATGTTAATGTGATGTATGAAGTCTGCTTTGCAAACAACTGACTGGTTTCCATATAAAACATGTCATCTTTCATTGCAAACATTATGTGCCTAGGTAACATTCCACAGTAATCTATAACAGTCTACCTGATAATATGATTTTGATTCCAGGTACAAATAAGAAAAGCAGCAAACTTAACCTGTCAATATGTTGGTTTGACGAATCCTGCAATCGAACCAACGACCTCTCACGCTGAAAGCGAGCAAGCTACCACGAGACCAACGAAATGAATAGCTTTCTTTGATATGTAGTAGCCAATTGTAATGTTCGTGTCGTATATTTAACTCTCAACAGTATACTTGAGGGTCTGCCTTGGGATCCTTCATTTCCATATTCTTTATTTTTTTTTTGACAATTTTTCTCTATTGTTTTTTCCCCCCATTTTCTCTATTTTCTATATATACCCAGCCTATTATTCTCTATTCTTTATTCTTTTTTTAACAATTTTTCTCTTTATTTTATTTGGTCGGCCCATTTTTCTGTGGTCCTTCTCCAATATTCTCCTTCCTGTTAACCTTGTGTAGACCTTTATACTAGAAAATGATGTAATTGACTTTTCATGATAAATTGAAATTTTTGTCTTTATAAAACGAACTATTGTACTTTTTGTTGGCATGTGAGAGTTAATGTTGAGCACAAGCGTGTCATAAGCATACAACTGTCTGTATTGATGCTAAGTCGGATTATGGTGTACGTTGCTATTGCTGTGTAAACAAAGTATGTCATCATCGTATAAAAAACATGGTATAAACCAGAGTAAGGTAACTTGTCAAATTATTGCCATGCACCATTCACTGGCTATAACCAACAGACCAAACCAGATACTTTAAAGCCCCAATAGTGGAAGTATATACAAATGATGCATAATTTCCGAATGGAATTAAAACAAAAACTTTTGTACAATATGAACACAGTGTATACGTAGGATTGATGTAGAATTGTGCCCCAGTATTTCATATTAACTGTTTTGTAACCAATACTTCAAGTTCCAATTTAAAAATGCCATGTTTAATTGCTTTCTGATATATTTTAATATCAGAAAATGATGTTGTTTCAGATTTGATTTACTTAAAATACGTAAGGTACCATTATAAATATTGTATATGTAACAAATAAGTTTTGTCTGTAATACAATGTTTCTTACAAAGGTGCAGCTTTCGGCGAGCAATAATATGCTTGTTTAAAGAATAGTATTGGTATTTTTTGAATAAATTTGATGATATGAAAACCCTACATGACAAGTGAAGGATATAAGTTGTTCACGATGCAATGAAACTAACAGTGGACGTTTGGCCTGTTTACTTCAACTGTCGTAGTAATTTCATCATGAACGGATTATTTTTTGGCACCAATTACACATTGTCATAGTTGTCTTACATACATTGATTGATTGGTTAATGTTAGACACCACTACCATCACTATGGGCTATTCCGTAGAGGTCGGTTTTTATTCTTATTATTGGCTGGAGAGAACAATTGCCTTTCGGCTTGAAAACTGACTATCCTGGTAATTTAAGCCTGGAGTCAAATGCACCTGCCACGTGCGGGATTCGAACTCAATACCTCAGTGTTGACATGCTAGTGATACAGTAGTCGAATTTCTTAGACCACTCAGCCACCGAGGCCCCATTCCTGCACATAAATAGAAGTATCCCTTTACCAACATTTATGTCATAAGAAAAAAAGTGTCATTCATGTAAAAATTGACAGCAAGGGAAATCAAAGCATAAACACGGTTAAAAAAAGAGAGGCGAAGGATACCAAACGGACATTAAAACTTATGAGTCGAAAAAAAATGACAACGCCATGGCTAAATAAGAAAAAAGCAAACCGACAAACAACAGTACACAAAACAACATAGACAACCAAAGACTGAGCAACATGAACCCCACCAAGAACTTGGTGTGATCTCAGGTGCTCCGCAAGGATAAGCAGATCCTGCTCCACATGTGACACCCGTCGTGCTGCTCATGCTAGTACAAACCCGGTGATATGTCTAATTCGGTAGGTCACATTCGGGCAAAGGGAACGAGAATGTCGTTACGACAATTAGAACATATCCGACGTCATCTATGAAACAGATATTCCATAACGGTCAACCAACTGGTGATGGCGTCCGTAAAATTTACGAAGGGATGAATTCAAAATCACCAATTAGAACTCTTGGTTTAATAGCTTCCTTGTAAGCAGCAACCCTCTATCAACAAGCCATGAAATATCGTATCAA